AACCTTAATTGCCTCTTTAAAGACCCGATTTCCAAATACAATCACATTCTAAGGTACTGGGGACTAGGGCTTTAACATGTAAGTGTTAGGTGGGGAGACACAATTCAGTCCATAACAGTCCATCATAAAGAAACAGACAAAGAAGGAGAGCAATGAACTTGGAAAGTTAGGCAGTGATAATGCATGTAAAATGGGAAAGATGAATAGGAATGTAAGAATGATATTACTGTACACAATGTGGTCATCATCTTTTCTATTTTGCCTAAGTGTCATGTGCGTGTATGCATGGTGATGTGCTTTGCATCATTTTTTTTTTAATCAGAAGCAGGAGTTGAATTTTTATCAAGTGACTTTTCATTCATGTAGTGTGAGGTCTTATTCTAGGTTGCCTATTAGTAGTTATGGATATAAATTTAACTATTCATTGACTTCCACTTAGTGTTTCACTCAACATGTCATCATCTGTATTTATAGGTGCTTTCATTTTTATAATTTTTGGTTTTATTTGATACATACTACTTCACAAAATATCATTTTCCATCTGCTGTTATCAGAAACAGTTTACATAAAATGGTGATTGCTTCCTGTATCTATGGCTGCACAGCAAATCATAGCAGACTGAAGTGATTTAGAGCAGCAGTTTCTCATTTCTCATAATGCTGTGGATTGTCAGTATGGATAGATCTTCTGCTGGTCATGCCCGACATGCTCTCACGGCCAAAGTCACGTGAGGACCGCACTGGGACTGGAGCACCTCAGGTGGCCTGATTCACAGTCTGGCAGTTGGGACTGGCTGTTGGCGGTGGTACATCTGTTCATCTCCCTGGTGCTTGTTATCTTCCAAAAGGCTCTTCAATTACTTTCCAGGGAATTCTGTTTTCTGCCAGAACCTTAGTGACAAATACAATTTTTTTTGCCTTCTCTCAAAAAACTTACAGTCTAATTTGGGATGATTATATACACTTATTTAAATTGTTTTGTATGTTATGATAGAAGAATGCATGATAATATTTTTAGCAAAGACCAGAATTTATTTTTGTTTATTTATTGTTTCATAAAGAAGGGATATTTAAGGTGAATTTATGATTAATGAGTAGGTTTTCAACAAAGAAACAATAATGGGCATGAAGTTAGTTTCTTTTGTTTCTCTCCTCTTAAATTTTAGTTTTTCTTGTCATTCTATCATTAGACTACTTATTTTCTATTTCTGAATTCCTTATAAAAGGAGCAATTATTGGAATATGAAACTGTAAACCACTGCTAAATGCTAATCATATGCATATATATACACATATAAATACCTGAAAATACTGATAGGAAGTTTTTCCCAGCCAAGATCTGCCTGTTAAAATATAAGTACAATGGTATTTATAACAAATCAAACACCAAAATGTAATGATCTCCTCTAATTTCTCTTAACTTTAGAGGACTTATGCGGTAAATGACCTCGCTTGCACTAACATTATTTGTTATTTCTTACTCCCTAAATATATCATTCCTTTTTTATATTATCATTGCCTAGGCGTCAACCCATCTCAAGCCTTTTGTTAAAAAATTATTGTTCAGTTAATTTCCATAAGTTGTATTTAGCTTAATATTGTATTAAATTATGAAAATATAAGCATGGTTTTGCATTGCTAAACGAAGTATTTCAGGTAATAAGTAATCTTACAAAAGTTGCCAGATGCACAGTCAATATAAATAAATTAGGTATATTTCTGAATAGTAGCATCAAAAAATTTAAATATAAAATTTAAAACTACCATATAATAATAGCATCAAAAATATAAAATCAGCAGAATACGTTTAACAAACAATTTCTAAAACCTTTACAGTGGAGTACAAAACATTGAAGTAAAAACATTAAAGAAATTCTAAATAGTTAAAGAGAAATGACATTTATGAAAACATTGTAAAGGTATTAATTTTTCTCATATATAGTATCAATATCAATAAAAATATCAATAAAAATACTTAAGATTTTTAATTTTATGTTAAGTGAGAAGGTGATTCTAAAATTTAGTTTGTAATGAAAAGAATCTACAATAGTCAATATATTCTTAAGGAAGAATAAAAGTGAAGGACATACACGCCAGATTTGAAGAATCATTAAAAAGCTGTAGTTATTAGCATCATATGGTATTGGCCTAAGAATAGACAAATCATATAGATAGCACCCAAATTAACCCATATATTGTGCACTTGGTTTATATCAAAGGTTAAATAGAGGAAATAATGTTGAAGCAATACATTAATAAAAGATGTTGAATCAAGTAATTTTTATCTGTATAATGAAAAGAATAAAACTTAACTATCTTATACCATTCAATGAAATTGACAAAACTGTTCATAGACATAACTGTGAAAAAATCTGAAGTCTCTATAAAACACAGAGGGATATCTATGTGACCCTGCAATAGGTAAAGATCTCTAGCATATAAGTCAAAAACACTGAAGAACTAGTTATAAAACAAAAAATTTTTAATTGGCTTTATAATACCGATTTTTTACTTTGTCAAAAAAAAGCATGAAAAAAGTGAAAATACCAAAGAAATAGTGGAAGAAAATATATATTTGCTGTATATATTTTTGAAGGACTCATATCCATAACATACAAAGGACTTCTACAAATCAATAAGAAAAAAGAATAAAAATAATGGGAGAGCTCCCTTGAAAAGAATTTTCAGATAAGTGGCATTTTAATGGCTAAAAGTATAATTAAAT